AATATTCAAAACCTCTAAATATATAACATCCACATTGGCATTTTACATATGTTCGTTTATTATCTCTATATAAATCCATTAATCTTTGTTCAATTGTTATTGGTGTATGTGTTGTTTCAATTTCTGTCAAGTTTTCATTTAACTGATTATTCATATATAATATTATATAGTTATATATTTAAGTACTTATTTAACTATATTATCTCCGTTACCGGGTCAACACTTCTTGAAACATCTTTGCCTTGGTCTCCATATCCAGTTATGTAATCGTGGTTAGTAAATGGATTTAATGAACCAGTATAAACAGTTATAGCGCCACGGTCAGCAATACTGACAGGGTCTAAGATACTTCTAAAATTAATGTAATCATCGGTAATATTAGACCTTCGTGATATAAACGGCGCTCCATAAGTGGTTAAAGTTAATTCTCTTTCAGGGTAATCTTTTGTTATCTGTGCCCCTACACTTGAACCGAGACTATGTGTTATAAGATGATTAACTTCATTGTTTTCATCCAATGCTGTTGATGTGTCTTTATATCGTTGTGAATATTTTGTCATTTTAAAGGGAAGTCCTACATCTGCCAGAATGTCATTAACAGCACCTCCAAACGTTCCTTTTCCAAATGTACCGCTTACATACATTTTATCACCATCAATATAAAAACCTTTTCCATTGCCATATGCTCTACTCAACCCTTGTGCATCAGTTAAATTTGAATTAGGATAATAACTATTTAATATTTTGTCAGTTTGTTTCATAACATTAGTTATTTTAGTTGTTTTCTTATAAGGTTGATAATGTTTAATTTTCCCATGCTTCATTTCATAAATTAACTTTTTATTATTAATCATATATTTAAAGTTATAAATTAATTTCTCAATTAATTAATAATGCTTACATATAAAAAAGTTTATATTGACAGCGCTCATAGGATTAGAGGCACATCATCAAATTTTAGAGTTGAATTGCCGGAAACATTACAAACAGACAACGGGGTTCATTGCTACATTCACGAAGTAACATTACCTAACTCGTGGTATTCAATACAGTCAGGATTAAATAATA